TACATGGAAACAGATAATCTGAATGACAAAGGCAATTTGGGTTTCCAAAAGACTTTGAAAAGGCCACTCACCTACGGTTTTTGAAGAGCCAAACTGCCAAGGAATAATCTTATTACAGATAAATAATTGCATAAAATACAAGGAAGAAAATGTGGGGTAAATGGACACTTTTCACAATGATGAAGTTCATCACCGAATGTCCATCTGGATCTACAGGAGGGGCTATTTTATTCAACTTCATCGTAAATTGTATAGAAAAGAGCAGACAGCAAAAGCGACAAGGCTTGCTGCTGGTGCTAGATTATTCAGGATAGAAGAGAACAAAGCTGAATGGCAAGACTTACAGAAGTACTTCAGGATACAGAAAGGCTAGCAATCAAATGACAGATGTGGGGGAAAACAATGCAATGCATTGTAAATATGCAGTCACAGCACACCCGGTTTGGTATAGTTTTGCAACCAAACCCCAATGACAGGCAGCAAAGAACTGTACTACCTGCAGATCCAGCCAGTCGGGCAGGACATCGGATCCTTTTGCTCATTTATGAAAGACCAAAGTCATTTTACCCAGCAAGAGGTGGAACAGACTGTATTGCCTCCTGAAATGCTTTGTGAGGGCAGAACAAAAGCTTGTCTGCTCACCTCATCTGTTTGGCTGTGATTGAAGGCTTGTCTCCACACACACAAAGGAGCACAGAGGCACGGTGGCAGGCAGGGGAACCCCAATAACCTCACCAGAGGCACCTGCCTCAGCTTCTCCACAGCTGTTCCAGCCAGAGTGTGGAATCCCTCAAGATGAGTCAATGGAAAACCTCTACAGAACACCTTATAGACTGAGGGAGATTACTGCCTGCAGAGATATGGGACTCAGTACAGGATGTAAGGGAAGACCATTTGGGGATTGTACCAGACTTACGGGATGTTCAGAGGATGTTCCAAAAGTGGGAAAAAGGAGGGATCAAGGTGGTTTGGGGAGGATGAAGCATGAAAAAATAGAGGGATAAAAGGGGCCAGTTTTATGTAGACAGTTTGCTGATCATCAGTCTTATCTGTCCATGCCCCGTACCAGATCAGTGCAGCCTGTCTCATCTTCTCACTAAGGTCCATTTTAAAGCGTTTTCTTAGGTGAGGGGACCCTCTATTTTGTGTGCCATTGCATGTCTAAGTGCCAGCAACCGGAGTCAGACCATGAGTCCCATGAGGAATTCAAGAGACTGGAGGGAGTGAGGGGTCTAAGTGCCAGCAAATGGGGAGGGTACCATAATATAATCATGATATAACCATGAAATACCACAAATATAATAAATGACCTCTTTTCTTTGCCACTGGTGTGGAAACTTGCAGTTAATTAATTTTGCCCCATTCAACATAAAGGTCTAGGACCCTATCCAAGTGTTTTTTAGTCAACATCCAGCAGTAAATGCAGGCTTCCCCAACAGGTTGCAACAATGATTGGCAGCTCTTTCCAAGGTCTCCACAGCTCACTCAGAATCACAATCTGCCCCTGATACTCCAGAGGGGTCTTTTCCAGGCACCAGACTTCTGTAAATACTTCTTTCATTGCCTTGCCCAACCATACAGTTAAATTCAGCATACATTGAATTTAACTATCCCTCACCTAGCAAAAGCAGAGCCCAGGTAGTTGGACAGGAAAATATTTTCAGTTGGCAACCTTTTAGGAATAAATGACTACTAATTAAGCTACCAATATTGAAAGAGGAAAACCTGGGTTTTTCTCTCCTCATCCTAAAAAGAGTAAGCCTCTTGTTGTCTATTTTCTTTTAGAGCTACCTATGCTGCTAGGGTATGTGTTTCTATTTCTGTTTCTACTTAGTTCAGCTAACCATCTCCAGCCAAGAATGCAAAAATCCCATGGTTAGGAGAGCACACAGGCTGACTCTGAAGACTGGTGGTTACAGCACACAGCTACAGAGAAGAAGAGAAGACAGCTTGTACACTGCAGCTCATGCTTCTTGAACAACCTGCGTGTTCTATGCAGTCGCTAGATTATAGAATGAATATATCAAATGGAACAAACCTAAATAGTGAATCTTTGAGGAAATATACATAAAACTCCCAATTCATTTAGCAAATACAAGGTCTTCCTAACAGCAAAACTCAACAAAAGCACAACTGGCATAACTGCTTCTTGGTTTTGGTGCACTGAAATGGCTTCAACCTAGTCAGAGCATCCAGAAGGAGAGAACGTTTTATGGTACAAATTACAATGGAAATCAAAGTGGAATGCTAACTAATTTAAGCCCTGATGCTGCAACTGCTTTACTAATACATTAGTTTGCAAGACCAAGGTTTTAGCCACACAGTGAAATAACTGTCAGAGTCCTGTATCTGAAAACAAGACGAAATGGGTCTTAGACTATGGTATCGGAAACCAAGGGTTCTGTCAAACAGTAGTGGTAACCCTAAAATTCTCCACATGCACTTCTGAAAATGAAAGGTTGATTTATAAAACCTAGTAAAACTCTTATGTCGAACAAAACAACATTGTCTGGGTCTCTTCATGTGGCCCGTCTGGGCGACCAGCCAATAGGCTGAAGTAGTTTAATATTATATAGAAAACCTACCTGTAAAATCAATCACGGTAAGCTCTGCACATGAAGTTCAGGGCAAGGGTGAAATAGCCAGTTGTAACACATTGTTCTTGTATTAATAGTCTAGTAAATATGCGGTTCTTTTCTGTGGTTCTTTCTGTAGATTAAAGATGCCTGACAAACACGCACAGGAAGCCATAAGTTAACATCACAATTTCATTGCTCCTGAAAAAAACAAAACAAAACAAAACAAAAACCAAAGCACTGGAATGTAAACTCTGAAAATGCAGTTTTCATTTTAGATGACATTGGAAGCTGTCTTTGTTACTCCTCTACTCTCCTACCCCCCAAGAGGCATGCCAGAATTGTCAAGTTTTTTTAATTAAGTATTTAAGCATGAAACATTTTCCACACTACTCATGTGAAACGAGGTACAAAAGTCATTATGTTTAACAGAAAGCTAAATTAACAAAATGTGGTCATCAGTGAAAGCAGAGAATAGGCAAACAAGAATTTGGAGTTATGATCTCCTCTCTGAAATGACCTCTGGCCAGATCCAGTGAAGTAATTAAGGCAAAGATGTCTTAGCATGTTTTAAACTATGATACAAACAGTCCCTGGTCTGCTCATAAGCAACATTTACATTTTGCTTTGGGTGACTCCCCAAATTTTACGCAAAACAGAAGTGTACTGATCCGATGTAGTATACCCAGTGAATTGACCATGTGTAGTGTGATCCAGTGACTGCACAATGCTGTTGAGAGCAGAAACTGGACCTTCCTTCCTCTACATTAACATCTTAACTGTGCTCTGTCTGGCTGAATCAGCTTGAATTTGTGGCTGTGCCGTGTCTCAGTCTTAATAGGAACAGCCTGCGAATTTGATTTGAAGGATACTTTCCTGACAAATGGACAATATAGATTTCAACTCCCTTAACTTGAGGCTGCAGTTGAAGAGGATAAGTTTCTTGCTACCTGACTAAATGGTAGCCTATCACATAAAGTAGAAGTGCTTCACCTGCAATTACAGAGCAGCTGTAAAAAGTTCTGGTTTATAAATCCCAGCTAAATAGAAATAATCCTCTACCATCCTGAAACATTGCACCAGATTTAGGGGAAAGGAGTGTTTCTAAGCATCCTCCCCACATTTCCTACTGGCAAGTTACACTAGTTCTGATCACCTCTGCGAGACACCTTCCTTTCCCTCTGTACTGTCTTGGGATCCTAGGCATCAGCTCTGGTTCTGCATGCCACCCAAGGGACCTTGACTTATTAACCCCAGCTCTTAACATCTCTTTGTGGCAATTTCTTCTTCTGAAAGTGGTAATGATAATTTCTACCTCACAAGAGTACTGACCCTTAATTGGAGTGTTAACTAGAGATTGAAAGAGATTTTTGCTTTCCTCGGAAGCCAAAAGTGCAGTGGTACAAAGTACTGTTACTATGCAATATAACAGCTGATTGCATCCATTGCTCTTTTCAATGATCCACTGTTCTACACAGACCCTGCTCCTAGCTGACCTGAAAGTAGTGTAAAAGATGCAGAATCGCTAGTGTTGCTTTCCATCCTGCTAACACAAGGAAGAGTGGCCACGCATACACATCAAAAACATTTTGATAAATTTATGGAAATACCTGTCTATTGTGAAGTACACTCTACCTACTCTACAGATTTTGTCTGGTTGAAAAGGGTACTAATTATCTCTGTGAAAACAATGAAAAACCTTTAAATCCTTGCAAAATTACTGAAGACAGAAGCCAGACAAAGATGTGCTGAACCTGAAGAGAACTATTCTAGCTGAAGCAAGCAACAGCCAGGATGTATCCCTGTCAAAGCTCAGTGTTTCTGGGTAACCATTTTGGTGCTTATGGCCAGGCAGGGATCAACACGACAGGGTGCCAGGGCAGACTTCACCTGTGCACCCTATGCACCCAGACTTCTGCCTGTGCAGCCCTTCTCTCAAAAATCCCTTTCCCTGCTCTCTCACAACTGTGCATTGTCCGAGTCTAAACAAATAAAGAAACCACATGCATAAAGTGTGTTGGGATGTGGACAGGTCAGCGTCTTTGTTAAACCTGCCAAACCTTTCCATTTATGACCAAATTCACTCAGATTTTTAACAACCCCTGGCTGTGTATTAACCCCCTAGTTACATTTGCTGTCTGCACACGGGTATTGAACAACCTGTTTTGCCTTTTGACTGCCTTGCTGCATCCTGGACCATGTCGTTTATGGAAACAGGTAAAAAACTCTAGGGAGAGCTTTCTTAACACATTCAGATATTAAAACAGGTCAAGCCGACTGGTTAAAGAAATGCTGACCCACATGTAGCAAACTTGTTTTTTTCCCCTCGCCCCTAACCTTTAGTTTTTATGTCCATCTTCTGGAAGTACCACAGCAGCGGCCCACCGCCGGGCCGCGCCTCCGAGGCCGCCACAGGCCGGGAAGGGCCCGTCCCTCAGCGGCCGCCGCCCGAGCCCTCTGGCCGGAGGGGCGGGAAGACCCCGGCCCGTCGCCAGACACCGCCTGCCCGGGGCGGCTTTAGAGTCATCCCCGCACAGGGGTTGCCACGGGAGAGGCCGGGCTCCCCTCAGCTGCCACCGCCCGACAGGCTTTCGGGACCGGCCAATTCCAATGGCGCGTCGGCCGCTGCGATGCGAGGCCGCGAGAGCCGCCATGTCAGGTACCGGCCGGGGCAGGGCTTCGGGGGAGGGGGCGGCATCTCCCGGGGCGCCGCTACGAGGGGTGGCGGCAGCAGGGCTCCGCGCTTCCCCGCGGGCAGAAGGCGGGCCGGTGCGGGGGAAGGCCGCCGGGGCAGGGGCGGAGCGAAGCGAGGGGCCGTGTCGCGCTCCCGCCAGCCGGGCCGCCTCGGGTGGGGGAGAAGGCGGAGCGCGGCCCCCCGCCATGTCCAAGCACGTTTTCCTCACGGGACCCCCAGGTAACGGGGGCGGGAGGAGCCTGGGGAGCGGAGCGAAGCGAGGGGAGGTGGCGAGGCTGCTGGGGCCTGGCCGGGCCCGGGCTGGCCTAGGCAGCCGCCCTGCGCGGGGTCGGCGGGGCCGTAAGGCGCTTCGGAGCGGGCTAAGGCAGCCCATGGTGGGCCCCAGGGCCTGAGGGAGCCCCGGGAGCGCCTTCTGCCTTGCGGCTGCCTGTCAGGTAACCCCGGCTGCCGGCCTCCAGGCCTGTAGCAGCTCCCCTCCCCGAGTGTCCCCTGTTGAGGTCAGAGCTGCTGCCTTCATTAATTTGTTGCTAATGAAGGTCCCTTTGAGCTTTCTGTCCAGTCCCATGTCATGTACTTTTCCAGATGCTGCAGCTTTGTCCCTGGCTCCTGCGCTGCAGTTCAGTACTGGGGGGGGGAACAACCTCCTGGGCCACAAATCCTGCTTCAATTAAACTGCAGCCATTAGTAATTTCTGAGCACTCCTCTTTTCTGTAACTTAATTGTAGTGATTTAGCGCTTCCAACCAAAGTAATGTTCAGTTATAAGTAATAATTGGTATCCCAGATGGGCAGGCCATGATTGAAGCAATGGAGTAGTTTATCATGGTAGGGGAATCTAATTATTGTGGAGGTAGAAGGGTGTAGAGTATGAGCATCAAACTATAAGGTTGATAAAGAAATAAACCAGTTACTATAATTGTAAAGCATTTGTTTGTGCTCTGGAAGTAAAACTGGGACTAATCTTCCCTTTTTTGGAAACCTTTTGCAGATACCTGTCTTGTCTGGAGTTAATTTAAAATGCTACTGCTAGGCTGAGATAGCAATGCCTTCCACAGACTTCATTCTGTCTTTCCATCCACCAAATAAAAGGCAGCCCTCCAAGAGATGCAGAGGTTCAGCCTGCTTAGGCCTTGTCTCTGTTCATTTAGCTGAAATTGAGTATACTCTTTTGATTAGCTAAATGTATAAGTTTAAGCTTTCTTAAACTTAGTTTGAGTTTGACTTAGTTTTCTTTGGTAATTTACTGAATGAAGGTAACTAAATTAGAGATAACAAATCTACTTAGCCAAATTAGTGTAAATTCACTTATAGAGACAAGGCCCTGGAAAGATGGTAGATATTGATGGTGCCACATTTGTCATTTTATTGTTGCTTAAATGCCAGGAATCCCTTTGGCTTCAGTTTTGAAAAGTTTGCTTAGTAGTTTGAGTAGATGCCCTTGAAGCTACAGAATATTTTGCCATTGATATTGACTGTTAAGAAAGTAGTGTCTAAATCTGCTTAAGATCTAAGGAAAGAATTTGGTATGTGCATCTTGAATTTATTTCTGTTGGCATCTTTAGGCACTTCACATTTGGTCTATTTTCCTTGTCTCCAGGAATTTAAGGGTCTATTCTGCAGGACATTTTCTGTCTTCTGATTTTTTGACAACAATGATTAAAAATGAAGTGATAACAGTAAATTTTGTGAGAGGCAATAAAGCTGAGTTTAAAAGGAGATTTTCAAGGGATGTACTTGTACAATGGCAAAGGAGAAGAAATAGCTCCTTTGTGGGTACTGAGAGGATGTCTGGAACATGGCCAACATTCACGTCGTAGAAAGTACATCAAACTGTGCTAGGAGACATCAGGTGGTGAGGGTTTTAAGGATCTGTCTTAGGGCAAGAAAATGGATTATAGGATCACAGGATAATTCATTTGAGAAGGGACTTCAGGAGGTGTAAAGGAAGGTCAGCTATGAGGCCAGACCAGGTTGCTCAAGGATTCACCCAGTCAGGTCTTGAAAATCTCAAAGGATATGAAGGCTGTACAGCCTCTCTGTTCTTGATTGTCCTCACAGTAAAAAAGCTTTTCCCTGTATCTAGTCAAAACCTCTCTTGCTTCAGTTGCAATAAGAAGCATGTTTCTGTTGTTAGAAATACTTTTGTGATGTAGGACCTGATCTGAGGGGCACTGAGTGCTTCCGATTTCTGGGACATCAGTAGAAGTGTGTCCTCTGTGCCAGTTAGGCTCCTGGTAATAGCAGCCAATTTTGACCTTATGATCTAACAGGGGGATGAACTCAGCTCTGCTCTTGAACAGTAGTGAATGGCAGTGGTAGAAAGGGAGATTCATCAGTCTTCCAGCTAGGCTGGGTATCAGTTGTGTAACAGTATGGCTCTCCTGTATTTATCTGCCTTGGGGCAAGCTTTGTGGCCTGCCTGTGCACTAAGCTAACAAATTTTGTGGTAGCATGGGGTATTTTTACCATTCTGTTGTGACTTCACTGTAGATGTGCTTCTTAAAGGTTAATAAAACATTACAATGTCTGTACAAAATGAACCTTAAAAGGCGCTTCTTCTCTTTCCTACCATTTAAAAAACCCAACGATTTGCAAACTTAAAAAGTAATCAATGTTCCCGCTAAACTGAAGCATTACTGTGGTGTTTAAAAGTGGGCTATTAGTGGAGAAGAAGATTAATCCTGTGTGCTTTTTGTTTCCTCTTTATTTTTAGGGGTTGGAAAGACTACTTTAATCCAGAAAGCCACTCAAGCTCTAAAATCCTCAGGCATTCCCATTGATGGATTTTACACAGAGGAAGTCAGAGAAGGTGGCAGGAGAACAGGATTTGATGTTGTCACTTTGTCTGGAAAACGAGGACCTTTATCTAGAGTCAGGTACTGAAGTTTTAACAGCTCTAAGTTGCTTACAGTTTTATGCTTCTGCTGCAGTCTGTCGGCATGTTAAATGCTCCACCAGAAGGTGATTTCCACCACACATATGGTTTTCATGGTCAGGTTCTTTGAGAATGAGACTGTGTGACCTGGCTGATAGGGTAATGTAGACAGTGTCTCTGTTGCATAGTGAAATATTGAAAGTGTGCCTGAGAAGGGCTTTCTCTTTTGCTGCTTTTTTTACACCAGATAGAGAGGAAGCACTTGCCGACCCTTTTATTGTGAGGCTGAGTCTCTTTGGGATACAGTCAGTAGCTTATTGTAGGCAGGTAGAAAGCTGGTTTTTTTTTTCCACCAGATAATTTATGGGGACAGAAGTGGGGAAAAAAAAAAAAGGGGAAATTGCATATAATATTGTTTTAAAGAGCCACTGAACGGCCCACAAAACCCATGTGAATTTTAAGAAAAAGAGGGTTTCAGAGCCCCACTGAGAGTGAGGCCTCTGAAGTGCTCACAGGGGCTCACAGTCTCTGCTGATTCACTAGGCTTAGCTTCTCACACTTTGTGCAAAACTTAGTCTAGATCCAGGTGTAATGTTGGCACCTCATTCAGACATAGTTGATCTGACTAAATAATTTGCATACTGCTAATAAAAGAGTTCACCTGGGATAGTGTGATGCAGCACATGCAAACTGTCTTCAGTGTTTTTCTGAGATTGTTTAAGGGTTTTGCAGCCCATACTAAGATTTGGGCCACTGCTGTGATGCTGTCTGTAGTGTCACATTACCAAATTCAAAGGTCTGAACTGCAGACATATTTTAATTTCATTGTAAATATATCTGCTGGCTTTTGGATCCCATTACCCTTCTGTACAGTGTTCAAATTTGGCTTACGTAGTTGTGGTATATTTTTTATCTTATTTTTATCTTAAAGTATGCCATCTGCAATATTAATGCATGGTTTACAGACTTGTTTTCCTTTTCTTAGAGGAATTAAGGGGATTTGACTTACTAGGATAAATTCTGATAAATCTGCTTGAAATTACTGCAGTGAAATCTAACTAAACTCATTGCTTAGAAGGAATTGTGCATTTAAAATACCTCTTTTTTAAATTTAGTTCTGATTCTTCAAGACGTGAATATCGTGTTGGACAGTATGCTGTAGACCTTGTTTCATTTGAACAGTTGGTTCTACCTATGCTGAGAAACGTGAGTATTCTGTGAAAGCTGCTGAAAAATGGATGCTTTATGATAATCAGTGTTATCGGAAGGCCCCTGCTAGAGCACTAATTTCTGATATTAATAAATGGGCTGTATCTTGGGTTTTGCTGATTCTGATTGACTTTAAGATCAGGAAGCTGGAGGGGAAAATTTGGCTTGTTCTCTTGTGCTTATTGTGGTGGTTGAGAGATTGCAGTCCCCTCTCATTCTTGATCTGACATCGTCCTATGAGCAGCCCCTCCTTGACCTGAGAAACAGCCGAGAGGGAGTTTCTTTCCATGCCACTGTCTTGCATATTGAAAAGCAAACAAAATGGAGGAGTGGCTTACCACACAGAACTGGGTGGCGTCAGTGGCTCCAAGAAAAAGGTTTTTTTCATTCTTTGCAGCCTTTTATTCCCTCTTTCTCTGATTCCCATCTTCTTTCAGTAGAAGCCTTTGTTTCTTGAATCCGGTGGTTATTTTTGATTACCACCATACCTGGAGACTGGTAGATTTTCACTGGTAGTAGCAGTCTGATAATTTGGGATCTAGCCTGCTGCACAAGGAGTGCTCTGATGATTGTGAAAAGGCTTTCCACTCAGTCTTTCTCCTATCCTTCTCCTAACATTCTGTTACAACTGTGCAAGCAGTGTTACGATTATCTCCTGTTTTCCTTCTCCTTTCTCTCTCTCACTCCAACCTTTCCCCTCTCCAAAATTAAACAAGAACAGATCTGATTTCGGCAATAACATATCACAAACAGTGTGCAGCACCTGCTGAGCTGTACTACTGAAAAGAATCATATTGTGATTTTTCTACACTGCCAAAGCTCAAGCAGCCAAGGAAGAAGGGACTTCTTAATGAACTTCGAAAGAACAAAAAAACCAAGAAGGTGCAAGGAGCAAAACCAAGATTGAGGATCCGATTCTTGTTTTTGTCAAGGAACATTAAAGTCTAAGAGTAGGGAAGCAAAGACAGGTGCAAGGGAGAAAGGAAGTATGAATAAAATTGGACAATTTTTTTTATGTTTAATTTCACTCTAAGTTGATTTATTCTGTTAGTAAATAGAAGGATAGTTTAATAAAAAAGGCATCGTTAAGCCAGCACAGTACTCAGAATCCTTTTACTGCTGCATTAAAGTGAACTCCAGGAGAGATCTTGCTAGAATGGTGTTAGCACTGTTGAATTTTTCTGGTTATTTTGCTTTCTTCTGTACTCAAGTACTGGAGAGTGGAAAGAAGAAAAGCGGCCAGCAGGGTCGGACACTGCGTGACCCTGTGCTCATTGAAAGTGCTGTTAATTGGTTTTGTGGGAATGTGGTCATGCGTGTAGGTGGCACAAAATGGGAGAGGAGGAGAGTGAGGAAGATCATAGACCTGAAACAGGAGAGTCATAGGTATGGTCTGGTTTGACCAGAGAGCCTTGAGGAGTGGGCATGTGCCCAGGTAGTCTTGAGGACAGCTTCAGCTCTTAGGGCTTGGATCTTGCTGACTCCAGGAAGAACAGGGGTAGATCCTACAATGGATGATCTCTCTGCATCTGGAAACTTTGCCAGTCAGGACTGAGCATTTTTTTTCAAAGCAAAATGCTCTGTTTCTCAATGTGTGACCTAGTGACTAGTATTGGCTTTTTAGCTCACTGATCTATGAAAGGATTTTAGATAAAACAGCTACTCAGCAGGGACTTAGCTTGAAAAGGTTTTAGGATGCATGTTATACAGTTCTTCCACTTTCCCAGAAGCAAATACTTTGCCTTCACAAGGGAAAACATTTCAATTTTTTAATTTTTTTTTTAGGTTCTGTATAATATGGCTGGTATTCGTGGATCTACAGTGATGTTTTAACTTGAATTTATTTCCTCCTCACTTCTGTAAATAATGGAGTACATTTCTCTGTTCCTTTGACAGGAGAGGATAGGCAGCGCGCTTCTTTTTCTGTTGAGTAGTTCCTCTGCTTTCTGAGTTGCTTTTCCCCTGGTGGCAATCACCCATGTTGTCTCCCAGGCTTCCCTGCTGCTCACACCAGTCTGCAGCATGGTACTGTTTGGCACAGTAAGCAAACCTCAAATGTGGTTAGTCTTCATTATAGTGTCTGTCCTGCAATCCAGGGCGATTACAGAATAAGCTGTATCTCAACAAAGAAATAGAAGGTGGTTATTCTGATGGGAGAGAGGCTTGGAGACGGCTTGCTTGTTATCCAGATAGCTTTTAGGAACGCTCCTTGTTCTGTGGGAAGTGCTGGTTTTGACCCTCCCTTGACCCAGCTACAAAAGGACAAACTTCTAAATCTAGATTTTATGCAAGTCTTTTTTTTTTTTTTTAAATACTTGTGTTGTATGGATATTGATCTATTCTAAATATATAATTTGATGGGAAAAGTGAAGCTTTGAAAAAATGGTGTCCCTCAGATTGATTGAGAGCTGCTAGTGGGCTAAGTGCAGTTCTTAATTGTCAAAGAGCTCATATGGGACTATTGTGAGAATTTTGGTTTGGAGTTTGTTTGAAAACTGGTATTATGGATATTTTCTATTGTAGTTGGTATTTATGCTGTACATATATTCTAATCTTTGCAAAAATCCATGCTGGAATGGAAATGATAGATTTATAAGTCTGTCAGTTACCAGCAGCAGCTTTGATTCTTCCACTTTCCCCAGTATTAAAATTTAATTGATTTATCGTGGAGGTATTTCTTTTGTTAGCATAGAAATAATTTCTGTTGCTTGGTTCTGTGTTGTTTACAGTCTCTTGATGTACTTTTCCACAGGTAAACCATGGCAGTGATGCAGAGAAAAAAATTTGCGTCATAGATGAGATTGGTAAAATGGAGCTCTTCAGCCAGGCTTTTATTCAAGCTGTTCGGCAGACGCTGGCTGGCTCAGGGACCGTGGTACTTGGAACTATTCCTATACCTAAGGGAAAGCCACTGGATCTTGTTGAAGAAATAAGAAGTAGGAAAGATGTTAAAGTGTTCAATGTGAGTAATATTAAACATCCTTAAAGAGCCTTCTGTTCTAGGTTGCTGGTTTCTATTTGGTTCTGTTTAAAAACTGTTACTACCAATTGATAGCTGTGGGTAGCCTATACAAAATAAGTTTTTTAGTTTCCATTTCATTCTTAATGGGCAGGTGTTCACCTTATTAAAAAAAAAATCAGTTGGCAGGTACTGTAGCAGTCTCACACAGCTGGCTTTGCTTGTGAGAGGCTGTAGAAGTAACGGTATAGTTGTTTTAAAAGGCTTTCTTGCTGTAGTATTACTGCCATATAAGTATTCATTATTCCTAAGAGTTAAATCTTTTATAGTACAGTCAGATTTTAAAATAATTTTTTCAGACTGGCTTGCAGAAATATTACCAGTAATCGTATTCAAGAAAAAAAAAGGCAGCAGTGGAGTTTGCAGAAATGATTTCTAGAAGAAAGACACTTGTAAATGGAGTGTGCTTTCTCTGGAGTCAGTGAACCAATTTTGGAATTCGTTATGTTATTTTTACAGACGTAATTCGTAGAATATTAAAGCCTCAGAGTGCATTTCTCATCAGTTACAGGGAGGTTCTCAAAAGCTTACCACTTCAAAACAGCCTATTCACAGGAACACCTGCCTTAGGTTTCCTTAACATCTGTAAGTGTCCTGGGTGCTACACAGAAATGAGCTAAATGCAGCTCCTGCTCCTTTGACTTATTTTTCTGCTCAGTGTGTGCTGTTTGTAGTAGAGAATAAAGCTATATATCCAAAACTGAACTGCACGTCTCTAGAAATTACAAATTCAGTAAGTGGGACTTAAACATCCCTGGGAGTACAGGGGTAATACGCCGTAGAGCAGTGCACTCTTGCAGCCTGTTCCTTATCAGGTGCATGTCTGATGCATTCTCATGCAGTGAGAATACTTGCTTGTTTTCATCCCAGTGAACGAGGAAGGAAAAAACACTATACCGAATGATCTTAATTACTGCAGTGAAAGCAAAGCCTCCATCTTCTTTTTTCCTCTTCAAAGTGAGATTAATAAGACTGCAGTGCTCAGAAAAGTTCCTCTGTTTTTTTATTAGTTGGTGGTCCCGTCAACATCTTCAATTTCTGTTTTTTAAATCAAATGCCTGTTTAATTAAGTGCTGAAGCAATCCTAGGAGCAAAGACAAGAGAAGATTCCTTTCCTCACATAAGGATTCAACTCCTGCCATTTCTTTCAGAGATAAACCCCCAGGTTTCCCAGTGACAAGTTGATGCGTGTTAGTTGTCAAGCTACTGAACAGGGATGCACGTGAATGTGAATTTTCTATGACCTGCTTTCCAGTGGTGGGACAGGGGAAGAGAGGATGGAGAATGCCTCGCTGAAAGTAACGGGCATTCAGTGCTTAGGCTGTGGTCATGGCAAGGCAAGAATGTGCATTTGGTCCTCTCAGGGGAGGAAACGGAGTGCTAGAAGACAGCATTCGGCTTTTCAAGGAAGCTTTTGAGGCTTCCGCTGTCTCTCTTCATCAGGTGATGCTCTGAGGGCACGTCCCGCTCAGCCCTGGGCTGTTGGCTGTATCAGGCTGCCGAGACGTCTCTCTCTCAAGTACTGACTACAGGCAGTTTCCTGTAAATTTCAGCGGAGCGATGTTTTCTCTAGCTAAAAAAATCTTTACTAAAAAAAAAAAATGAGCCATCCTGTTTATGCTGGTGACATTAGGGTGTGCAGCTTGCTTTGTTTAAATAGAGTTCTCTGGTGAATCCGTTAGCCCAAAGCACGGGTGTGAAACGCGTGACGGCCTGCAATGGTTCCCAGGTGGCAGAGACCTGCTATGCTGAAGTGCTGTGCAGGAGAGCATCTGTCTGGCTTGCTCCAGTGACACACTACATGCTCTTTCCCAGCGAGTTAAAACGTGTGCATGAGTAGGAACAGACCCTGCCCGTGGGGAGTCAGAGGTGTTACTGGCTGAAGTAAATACTGGATCCCCAGCTATGTTCTCCAAGGGCTGTGGTATGGGGAGAACCTGGAGTGCCCTAATAGCTCATGGTCAGTAATTTCTTACTAACTTTTATGGTGCCTGGAAGTGTGCAGAAGTAGGTGGCTACCTTCCAAAAAAGTTCTGCCTGCTTTGTCACTTAATATGGAGTCAGGCTGCGTTCAAGTTACTCAGCAGAGTTTTCTCATCCTGCTCTTAGTGTCAGAAGGATGGTTCTGATGTTGGACTCTAAGTGCACAGAGACAGCTGATTGGGGGTTTGCAGTCCCTTCTGTCTTGAAAGCATATTCAGTTGGTGCAAATGGGCCCAGATGCCCTAAAAGCAGTTGAGGATTTGGTCCCAAATGTTTAATTTATTATGTTTAGAGCACTTCACGATAGGAGCTCTGATATTTAACACATTTCTTTCCATTGTTGCCCAATTCCATTTCACTGAGAACAAAACTTTCCAGTGAAACTACAGAGGCTCTTTTTGTACTGCCCAGATCTGTGTAGTTTTGCAGACAGTGTTGTAAATGGGATCAGATTATCCTTAGCAGCTGGCACATACTCTTTTTCTCCCATTTTCCCATCTATTAATTTTTCTTCCATGAAACTCATTAGTGACGTGAGGCTGCGTATGCCTTTTAAGAAAGAAAATAAATAGTTAAATGAATCAGAAGAAGAAAAGGTTCCCTTTGAAGAGACTGTATGAGAGGGGTTTCCTTGGAAAGCTTTTGTCCTCTGCTGTTGCCTGCTTGGCTTCTAGGTGGTAGTTTCCTCCAAATTACCTGCTTAGTGTAAGCAGCGTCTACAGTTACTTTCAACTCACTGTCTAAAAATCTACCCATCTGTTTGCACATTCAGTACAGATACTGGGAGATTAGTTCTCTCTGGGAAAGCTGCCTGCACAGAATGTCTCCCAGATCTTAAGAGGAGACTTATATCTATCAACCAGCCTTTATAAAACAGTTGTGAAAATTTCCCAGCACTTGGCACTTTCTCTCTGCAGCTCTCACTGGACTTCTGGCATGTAGGTATGGAACAGGGAGAGATAAAATGTAGTATTGTTTTTGTTGGCTGTGAGACAGTGGGAAGAGCTATTAAATGTTCATGAGGTCCTTTGAAAGTCAGGATATCAGGACACTTGCCGTGAGATTTAGAGTTTGGCTGATCTATGCTCTGTACCTTGTTTGCCTTGGGGTCTCTCAATAGCCTTACTGAAGAGCAATTCTATTCTTTGTTGTCTTGCTCTCTATTATTGTGGGGTTTTCTGTTTATCTTATAATAGGCCTGGAATGATACTCTATATAAACACCACCACTTTCAGCCAGATCTTCCCTTTCATTCGCCTTATTATTTTTTTTAATGTCACGTTTTCATCAGTCCCACGTTGATCTGCTCCCTTGAATTCAAGTGGTGTAGGGGAGACCACTATCTTGAGGTTTTGCATTGTTGGTTTCCAGTATTTGGAAATGTGACTAAGTAGCAGGAGGCTCTTAGGGCCAAATTCTTTAGGTAGGAGTGTCACCTATTTAAAAATAATAACGTTTTTACTTTCTCCTGTTCAGTATTGACTGTAGTACTGGAAGGGATACAAACCCTTGTGCTCAGCTCTTAAACGCAGCTGCGGGGAATGCAGTGAACCTTGCTGGTGGAGAGTTTTATGCCGTGCATAGTGTGGTGTCTCCTGCCTTGTCAAACAGCATTTCTCAAACTTTGTTAAAAATATGAACGTCTTTCCTTTTTTTGGCTCATCTGTCTTTGTCTGATTTCTTCCTGCCCTCTCTGCGGGGATCTGAACAGTGGGGGAAATTTCTTAGGCTTTTTAAAATGAGGCTTTTGCTGACACTTCACAATCGCTTCTTAACTCTTTCAGCACCACAGCCATCTCCCCAGGATTCGTCTGAGTTAGTAATGCACGGCACTGTGGGTCGCTGGGCTGTCAGGACCCCAGTCTGTCAAGAAGGAGTAACTTGCACCCCCCATCTCCCCTGCCCCCCTTCCAGCTCTGTGCTCTGTCGGTGCTGCACCTGGGAACTGAGCTGACCACCAAGTGCTGGCGTTTGCTTGGCAGTTCACAGTAATCTGCATGTGCTGCAATGCAGGTGGGCCCAGCAAACGACAGGACAGTGAGCTATATGGATTTTCACATGCACTAGTCTTAAAATCCAATATTTCCATGGACTGGTCAAGCAAAGGCATACCTCAGCGGGCTGTAAAAGCTCCCCAGCTTTTCCAAGTAGTCTTATTTCTTTGTGAAGGTGTTTCTGTCCTGCAGTGCTAACCTTTCTCAGAATACAGAGTTGTGCTGCTAAGCCTGTTGTAATTTTTATTGTTGCAGATGTTTTTGACTGGGTCTGTCATCCTAATAAAAAAAATCCTTTGAAGTACTGAAGGCAGAAGAACTCCACTTTATAGTAGGAAAATTATGTTTGGTAATTGAAACAGATTTCTAGTAATGACGAAAGTACATGCTGGCTTTTCGAGTGATTCTTGTTCGTTATTCAAGCCCTGAATAATACTGCAAAATACCATGGGTAATTAGATCAAAAAGATCACTGAATATTTAATTACATATGCAGGTTTGTGGGTTTAGTTCATTGTGTTCTCAGTAGCAGAAGAAGGCAGGTGTTTGACACAGCATTCCTCCACTGAGAAAGAAATGCATTTGAATTTCTGCTTTGTTTGTTTTTGAAGTAAACACTGATATAGAGGTTATTCATCAAATTACATCCGTTTTAATTTCTCTTTCTCTAGGTGAGTAAGGAAAACAGAAACAGCATTTTGCAAGACATCTTGGCAGCGGTGGAATCTTGCAGAAAGTGAAGACTTTTTCTTGCCTGTAAACACTAAAGCTTTTATTTTAACAAAACATTACAACATTTTGCGGATGTTTTTGACTCTTTCCTTCCTGCTTTAGCCCCTGGAGGTTTTCCTGCAGCCTTCAGGGTAAGCAAGGTAAAGCTGGTAATACTCTAACGTGAAAATAGGAGAGCAGGATTCTTGTATATTCAGTTCAGATCTATTAAAAAAAATTGAACAGATACATAGTTACCATCCAGTTCTAATGTGGGTATTGGAAAGTTAGGTAGTCTACCCTGATCCTATTTGCACCGTATAAAAGCAATTAACTGTCAAATCTGTTTGAGATCTTAGTCTTTCAGAGTGTGGTGTGGCCTGTTCTGCCCAGAAAGCAGTGCAGTATCTGGCACTTCGCCCTGGTGTGACAGAGCAGAGCCCTGCACAGAATGTCTCTGGGCTCTGCCTGGTTTACGTAGAAGTATCTTTGCAGTGGGTGACCCAGCGAAGGTGTGCCCAGGTGTGTCTCAGCGTGGGGGCTAACGGCTCACGAGGTAGAAGGAATAAGCAGATGCTCTCTCCCTACCCCCAGACACCCCTCTCCCCAGTTGCAGTATAAGAATTTATCTAGAATTTCAAGGAAATTTCCTGTAGTCCCAAGTGACACATGCAGAATTCCGCTTCAGGAAGAAAAATAACCAACTGTAACCTCTCCTAAGTGGCCCAGACACTAGTTGATAAGAGGGCTGCATTTTGAGTTTATTTTCAAGTTTCTGATGGCAATCCTGCCTTGCACCCCCTTAAAAAAAATATATTCATATAAAATCTTCAAGTCCATGAAGCTCAGTCAAATCTTGACTTGTGTTTTTCATGCAGAGTTTATTAAGTCAGAATTGACTTAATACTGCATTTGTCTATCTGGGTTTTACAATCTGTTATGTTTAGTGGTATTTTTTGTTTGGTCGGGTTTTTTTCTGTACATGGTTGATGGTGAAATAAGAAGTGTTTGAGAGTGTTAGACAATGTGTTTCCCTATGAGGTGGGCAAATGTGTTCAGGAAAAGTGCTACCACTTAATCAGTTTTGCATGTTGTGAGAACAGAATTCCCTCCCAGGTGCACACTCGTTCCTTGTGTGATTTATAGTCATCTCTGGCTGTAAAAAGTTGTTAAGAATTCAGTCATTTCTTATGTATTTTTTTTCTGTTCGGTTCAACAACTGTTAAAATGAGCAAACTAAAAGCATTTTCAAATATCATTTGAGTTATTTGTTTCTGTAAAACTGACACCCAAAGCTGTAGGGGGCTGGGTGGGGAGAGGCACTTTTCCAGGTGCCCTGGAAACAGCAGGCAGTTAAAGGGTGCCGTGGCCTTGTACCCTGACGGCCCTTTCCACAACCATTCTGTAGCTGAGTCTTAAATGGGGACTGACCTTGAAAGCTGGAAAATAGAGATATTTGGCACTTCTCTGTAGGGTCTGGGGAGGGGAGTTACTTCAGGAGTGATGGCAGAGTTCAGTTTTCCAAATTCCGGTTCAGCTGGTGTTGTTGGGAGTTTCATCACTTTTAAGTGGTCTCTATTCCTCATAAGAGTAGGTGCGTTGCCCTGCATATAATGCCATGATGCCTACTATAGTCCTGGCATTTAATAGACTGGAAAAAAAGAACCATAAAAACAAGTTTGGGGAACTTTAGACCAGTGTGCTTAGGGTGCTTGAAAGCCATTATCTCATGGTGCAAGGAAGACCTTTAGTAGTGAGGGCAGTTAGTTACTGGAAGAACTTCCAAAATGGAGGTGTATTTTTCTTTCACTGGAACTGAGATGTATCACCCCTTTTAAATCAAAGGGTATTTTTGCTACTGACATTGGTGGCTCTTGCTTTCGGCTACCTGTCTCAAGATTGGTGAGTCTTTAATTTGTTGTTCTTTTTTTAAGCCCATCTTCTCTCTGAGCTACAGAGTGCTTTTCAAGAGAAATAAAGAGAAACTTTGTGATCTGTGTTCAGTGAGAGATCCGAGATGACCTTAACAGTTATGGCTGGCCTTTGAATCTGAGACTGTCCTGAAGAAATGATTCACCTATTTCAAATATACATCAAGTGAGTGAGAAAGTAGTATTTCCAACTGAACTTAGTTTTTATGACACCCGGTGTTTACTTTAGAGGTAAAAATTTATTTTCTGGTCTTGTACTAGTGAAACATTTGGAAGGCCTGGAGAGCACTGTAACAACAAACAGCATTCACAAATCCCCTGATGGGCCGATTTTACTAATAGCACACATTTGGTGAAAATAACCTCTGATGTGCCAGCAAGATTCCAGATGACAACATTAGTGCACCTGCAGGTTTTAATTGGTGTAAAAAAGGGGAGAATATGAGGTACCAATTACTCTCTCAAAGCCCGAGAATTGAGGATGTTTTTGGCAAGGAGGCTTGTAATTCCAACATGAAATTGTGCACAGCATGGAATAAACAGGGCCTGTATCATTTATCATCCATTAGACAATTTTGACTTGTAAAACTCTAAGAAGGCTGAAAGAGGTGAATCTTTAACACTGGACCTACTGCAAAGTTAATTATAAGTAGTATGTCTGTCTTGCAGATTTAAGGATGTACAAGCACTGGTGAAACACTGTAATTAAATACCAGTCCCAATCCAGGGAGTAATCTAAATATGGCAATAATTGGGTAGTTAAAAAAAATACGCATTGATGAGAAGATGATTATTACATGCTGGAGAATTTCACTGGTAATTCTAATCTTCTAAAATGAGCTGCACAAAACTCAGCTCATCTTAACTTAAATTCCTCAGCAAGAGCAGAGAGGTCAGTTGGTGGGTTGCAGCCAACTGCAGATGACATTTCTTGCTTTATTCTAATAAATAGCTTTTAAAAGAAGCTGTGGATGACATTAGAGAGACTCCTAAAAACTGAATAGTTTCAGAATGTAATTCATAGATATTAAGAATACCTGGCCATATTGTTGAGAGGGCCAAAGACTGAGGCTGGTAAGTTCTTTTTTCAATGCAATGAATGCCAGGATTTTCTGTCTCTGGGAATGAGGTGAAACATTTGATGAGAACTCTGGTTCCTTGCAATAGAAGTTAGTGTGACACTTCCAGTGGAGGGAGCAGCAGGCCCTCCAGCATTTGTATTTTGGGATGAACAGAAACAACCTTTGTACATGGCGTCCATCCCTGTTTCCTACTCGCTCGCTGTGGTGGGAAGCAGGGGGGCTGAAGGCAGGCTGAGGGTTTGCCAGCCCGCCTGGGGAATGGGAGCAGGGCACCAGCCTGGGACTGGCTGTGGTAAAATGTTACTAAAAATCTTTTTATCAGATTTTAAGACCACGCTTCACCTTTAGGAGTGTAGCACCTGGCTTTTACTGCGTGATGTAAACAACAGTCTATTAGTGAAAACAAAGTTTAGGAAAACAAAATTGGAGAGGGTGTAAGTATTCCACATTTAATGTGAGGGCTGAAGTACTGTTTGGGCTTATTTTACCATATACTCATTATCCTCCTTCCTGTAGCCTGCTGTACTGTATGTGTTCTTCTCTGGTTATGAGAGCATCCATGGAGCCGATGTGGATAAAATCACTCCTGATGTTTCTTTTCAGCAATGGTGATGTTTTTTGAGGTTAAGCTGGGGGAGCAGATAGGGCCTCCATCTTTTCATCCCTTCTGATGTTTCTATGAAAGAATGTCATGTACCAAATGCTCTTGTGGATTGAGTGCTTGATTTCCTCAAAGGATGCGTCCAGCCTGCTAGTGAGACAGGGGTGTCACTGCTCTCAGGATGTAGAAGCGAGAAGGTTCTGGGCTGGCTGAACGAGCATCAGGAAGGCTTCAGCTCCTGCTGTGGCCTCTGCAGCTCAAGAAGAGCTCAAGCACAGCATCTGAATCTTCAAAACTGACACAAAATGGAACTGCGTATGAAAGTGTTACGTGTTGGTGGTGGCCATCCTTCCTGCATCACAGCTGTGGTAAGAGATCAGACATGTAATGTAGGCAAACTTTGCATTCTGAGCAACTTCAGGGCCTGGTTGTAACAGTGGCATTATGCACTGGGAAACCTGTCACCAGGGCCACAGCCAACTGCCACAACAGTGAGAATTGGGTCTGCTTTTCATTCAGAGCCCAAAACTGCCCAACTAGTGGGGTCCCTGTCACAGGTACCTCCATCTTGCATCTCTGTAGCACCTCATGTGTAAGGTTCTGTATTGAGCTGCTTAGGTCTTTCAGGAATAAGAGTATGGGTAGAGCTGTTATGTGTCCGCAGGCACTGGTGCTGAGAGCAGCATTCCTATGGACTTGGGTGCCTTTTGGTGCTGTGAAAGGCTGTTGTGAGCAGCTCACTGGTGAAATTGGGCCTTGTGTAAAGGTGAGGTACCTATTTGTGGGCTTTGTGTGCATCAGAGCTTTAAATGCATCTTCTGTCATGTCCAGAGTAATCAGGTCTATCTCTACCACATGCAAACATGGGGGGATGTCTAAGATGTGCTTAATCAATACAACCCCATATCTAGTTCCAGGTTTCATTTCTAACCCTCGTGTCTGGTTATTCTGTAGGATTGGCCCATATTTGAAAAACTGCATATAGCAGTAGTCTTATTAATTAACAACAGACTCTGCAAAAATATGAAGAAATGTAATATGGGAGGGTTTGTGCTGTCATCTTCGATTTATTTTTTTGTCTTTGTAAACATTAATGGTCATTCCTCATTTTTTTCAACCCACTATGCTACAGTAACAACTTTAAGGCAAAATGAAAACTGTGTAAGGCTCCTGCTCTGCCCTGCTTGTGTGCTGTGCCTCCACAAGGGAGACAGGACGTGCCTTTGCCAGCAGCTACCCTGTGCAGCAAAAGGCTGGGCTCCGTGTCACACTGCTGTCCACAAGGAGTTGTGCTTCCAGGGGCCGGTGGCCTGAACCAGGTGAGGAGCTGCATTAGCTCAGGGGCTGTGGAGGTGGTAGAGTCTTAGAGAAGACGTAGTGGTGTGGGAAGGTGGTACAGCAGGTACAGCACCTGCCCCTGGAAGGATTTGTGCAGCTGTTTCCCAGTCCGGTTTAGTGTGCCTCAGTTGGATACATACAGTACTTTAGGTTGATCAGGACTGCTGGAGTTATTTATTTTTGATGGAAATTAATTCAAATTTAAGTTAAAGATGTGAAAACCAGAGGCCTAAGTGAGTCTTGCTGAATACGGGAAAGTTTTTAGTGCTGTCTGCAGCAGCTTGTTTGCCCTGCCCCCACGCAAGGCAGGGTTTAGGAAGTGCTGCAGTGGTGGTTTATCTTAGACTGCCATGCAGAAGCCCCCAGGGCAGAAATGGGGCTGGTGGCTGTTAGTAAGGGCTCTCTACGTACCTGTATGGCCTCCATCCTTCATTTGTAATGAAGCACTTGATGAGCAGGGTGGTGGGAAGAGAGGTACTGTCTGCCAGGAATGGTCAGAAGGGAGCAGCTGAATTCAATTTCCTCTTCCACATCCCACCTGGATGCCAGAGGAGACATTAGCAGGGCCTAAACTGCACTGATGCCCATATGGTCTCAGGGGGCTGTACATGAATACTCTGGTTTTGCCCTGGCGACCATGAGCAGAATTTGGCCTAGGTGGTGCTGAGCTTTATAAACAACCAATTCATCAAGATCTGAAGTGAAAGAAAAACAACAGATTTCTCAATTTCATAAGGCAGAAAGCAAGTGAAACCAACTCCAAATAAAAAAGAAAACCCAAAAACTGCTGCCACACAAAACATACTTGGATCATTTTATTTCCACGAGGTGTTATTTAGTCGTACTACTTATAATCTTAAGTGTGGCACAGCAGGAAGCTCAGAACGCAACTGTGTATCGCCTAACGGTAATGAGACTTAGCTACAGCATCTCTTGCTAAATCTTTCTTGTTAATTGGGACAAGACAGCCTGGCTGCACATCATCTTGTGGAGAATTAGAAACAATCTATGGTAGTTACAGTAAAGAGGAACAGCAAGACACTGATAGCTGCAATTTTTTTAAAAAAAAAAAAAAAAAAAAGAATGAGGAGAGCACGCGCATGTGTGTTTAGACTCTATAGTAGAGGATTTGTTGTAGCCTTTTGGCTTCCAAAGTAGTCATGCATTCCTGTAAATCAGTGTGTCTCAAACTTTGTAAAAGCATGGCCTCCCTTTTTGCATCATCTGTCTTTATGCCACTATGAAGTTGGCAGCAGCTCAATTTGTCTGGGGGAGTGAAATCAGAATGCCCTGTAATTACTGGCTA